AAACACCACAAGGCTCCGTGACTACACACGTCACGAGAGAAGAGAACTCACCACAACGGCTACACAAGCCCTCGTGACATCACCCATCACGAGTTGATATGCCTTCCTTATGCCCTGTTCCAACCTTATGGCTACCCACATCCTTGTACCTTCAAAGCCAACCATTACCTCCAGAAATCCCCTGTACAGCCAAGTCCAACCTTATTCCGCCGGGACCGTCGTCCCCCACCTATAACCACCAACGAAAACCCACCAATCACGGCAACACATGCCCGGATAACACAATGTTATCCCCCAATCACGTGGACTCAGCCACAGCTCCATAATCACGTCACGTCGTCCATTCTGCTTAATCTAACGGCAGCGGCTAATTTCTGAAGATTTAAAGATTTAAGCGCGTCCTGGTAAGTGGAGGGTATTATGGTAATTATAGTGGTTATTTATATCGGTTGCTTGTCAGTATACACCAACAGTGTTAACAAAAGACACCAATAGTGTTAGGAAAAAGCACAACAATGAAATGCACAAATACACCAAAAAACACACAACACACCCAAAAAATACCCCATATAACTCACCACCCCAATGGTGTATTCTGAACACTCTGTGATGCTTTTAGTGATACCTAGTGGTGCGTTCTGGTGATGCGTATCGAATTTGTGCATGTTTTTTTTGTGTGCATTTTCTAACATGGATGGTGTATATTTGTATAACTATTAGTGCGGTCGCACTGACCGCTCGGGAAGGCACCAACATGAATTCTCAAATACACCACAGTAAGGTTAATAATGCACCAATAATGAACATAAAACACACAACACTATGATTTGATATATTCTGGTGCCCAATGACGACTTTAACCTTGCAGCTCGCGTACTGTGAGAACGCGCGCGAAAATATCGGAAAAGCCTTGATGAATGTGATTCGTTGGATTTATCTAATCTAATGGCCTACAATTAACTGCACCGCCGCACCTAAGTGCACTGCCGCACTTGAACCTTCCTCTATATATATATATATATATATATATATATATATATATATATATATATATATATATATATATATGCGATTATTTTTTGCTATTTGCATTATTATTGCTATAATATAATAATAAAGTTGCATTATATTAAATAACCTTTAAGACTTCCTAAAGTTGATTTCCAGAGGGGTATTACTGAGAACCAAACGTCTGTGTCCTCTTTTCTTGGAAACGCCAACATCTTGGCACACATATGAGCAGTCATCACACACACTTGGACAAAACATAAACTTATAGGCATTTGTTGTTTTAACAATCTTGAACCAGTTGCTTAGAGTTTGTTGACCAGGATTGCTTTTTTTGCCGCCATCTGTTATGTAATGCATAATATCATATGATGAGGGATCTCCACTAATTGTCCATACCTTAGACTCCGGGCATCCTGTGTATACATCTGGAAATTCAATATTGAGGTCAATCCATTCACGAATCACACCTTTTTGTGAATTAACTGGGTAAAACTGTATAGCGTTGCCCCACCAGTAAACATCATCCTGGACCACACTTTTCGGGCAACTCTGACGATGTCCCGTGGAAGCTAGGTCAAGCCCACCACCCTGGTCCTGGAGTAGTGGTACAACATAGTACTTGACACCAGCTCGGAGGATCTTCCCACGGATATCAAGCACCGCGTTTGTGTCCTGTGCCTCTATTACTTCACAAAGCAAGATGGAGAAGAGGAAGAGAGAAAGGAGGAAGAATTGTGTCTTCATTGTGGCTATCCTATATGATCGAAATGTGTATTCTATTGGTGTGAGGATACAGAAGGAGGGAAGAGACATATATATATATATATATATATATATATATATATATATATATATATATATATATAGGTGAGTGAGGGCACTAACTGCACATTGGTAGGATTGTTCCTGTGAGTTTGAAATTAAATTATTTTATATTGTTACGGATCAGTAGCTTAGGTACGGTGTTTGACGCCAACTCACTCATCCATCTCATTGTTTTCATCAACGGTTTTTGACATTCATCATTTCACATGCATCGATAATCATATTATATTTAATTAGATGAGAGACATTGGTATGATTAATATTAAAAATTACAGATGAAATTAAAGCTTTTGCATGTGACTTTGAAATTGTTATGTACTATATGTGAAATAATAAAAAATACTTCCATTACATAGTTTTGATTGTATAATTAGATTGCTACGTACTAGCTAGTGGATTTACACCTAGTATTATGTACTTCATGCATGTTTGTTATGGATTAGTAAGGCTCTGTTTGGTAAAAAATTGGCTTATAGGCCAATTTTGATTTATTTGACAACTATTAATTGTTTGATTTAGTGAAAATATCAATATAAATGTTTGGTTAATTAGCTTTTTGCAACTCTAAAATACTAAAATTCAAAAAGCTACTCCATGTAATTTTTTCAATTCACTTTTTGAGAAAAGAAATTATACCAAACAGTTATCAGCCAACAGCTAATTTACCCAACACTTTTCTACAATCAAACAGCTAACAGTTATCAACTAACAGCCATTTTACTAAACAGGGCCTAAGTGTATAAACATTAATTAATTAGCTTGCACTCTTAGTTCAACTTCTTTGATGTATTGCATGTAGTGTTAATGGATGGTCAACGTACTGGGATGGAAAGCCTTCCAGATAAGATGCTGAACATTTTGTTTGACGATATTGATGATAGATATACCTAGATGGCGTCAAGTGTGTATAGCTGATTTGTAACATTTTGTTCACCCTTCCTTTTTAGATATAAAAAAATATATATTAATCAATAATTAATATGAAGTATATAATACTAAGCCGGTGTCGTGAATCCACTCATAATCTAACTTCGTTGTTTAGTCAAAAACAGTTTAATGATGAAATCAATCCGTTAGTGCCAAACACCTAATATTATATTCGTAACCATTTCAAACTCACAAAATAAAGCTTAATTTCCATTTTCTGTAATAACTCTACCAATGTGCTCTCACTGCCTATAAATACCATAATGCATATATGCCTCTTCCCTCATCAGCTCACACCAATACCATACACATTTCCACAAATATAAGAAGACAATGAAGACACCATTCGTCTTATTATTACTTTCTCTCCTTCTCATGACCATCTTCCTTTCCGAAGCAAGAGTGCTTCAACCAAATAAAACACAAAGCTCACTCAACATAAAAACCTCACAAAACACACAAAGCCCGGTAAGCCACTGCCGCATATGAGCCTTATTCTATATATATATATATATATATATATATATATGTATATATATATATATATATATATATATATATATATATATATATATATATATATATATATATGCAGCTTTTAATCACTATGTAATTCCTCGCTCTTAGGGGATCGGGTCGGAGATCATGAAATAAAATAAAACTACTTTAATTTCTAGTGCATTCTGCATTTTTATTTCCTAGAAATGTAAATTACCAGAATATACTACAAGTTTTAGTAAATTCTTGTATGAAGCAAGATTTTTTCAAGAAGAAGAAATAACATATCGACAATTTTACTGCGATTATCTACTTCCAGCACCATATAATACTGAAATAACTAAGGTATATAGTCAATATGAACCAAAAGAAAATACTTTAGGAGAAAGAATTAGAGTATTAAGATCATATTTAAAGAGAAAATGCGAAAAATATAGAATACACCAAAAGATTAAAAAAGATAAGATAAATTGATAAAGAGAAATATGTGGATTTATAGAGAAAAGACTAATATTTGGATGTGATAGAGACTATAAAGACAGAAGAAGAAAAACAAAATATTCTAAAAAGTATAGGAAATATAGGAAAGATAGAAAAAATGAATCTTATTACAAGTCATATATAAACTTTGAAAAAGCACGTGGATCTTGAATGCAAAAATTAACCTAGGGTTCTAATTAATTTTATTTCAATTATAAAGCTAGACTAGTTCCAGTACTACTCCAGGTATAATAACGAACATAAAATAGAGAGTAATAAAGGAAAACGTGCATCAGGAAATGTTCACGCAGTTCCAAGCCTCACTCCTACGTCTGCGGGGCCACTCACATCAACCCAAATCCACTATGATAAACAGGAGTGCAAGAGGAGAGTTAATTACACACTAAAGTATAACCTATAACTACTCTAGAACCTACTCCAGCGGATTCGATGTGCAGGCGATCCTCGTTACTTCATGATCTTATTAAGAACCCTTCTCCACACTCAGCAATACAGAATATAACCAGTATAAGTAGATGAAGACTCTCAGAACAAGGGCTTGTAAAAGTGTTTAATCAAAATGCTAACCAAAGTAGCATTTTATATAGGTAATGAGAGGTTTCTTCGATCCACAAATCATGCATTCTTTCCTTTCTTGATTTCGGCTGCTCCAATTGATTTAGATCTCCTCCAAGATAGGGTCTTGACTAAATAAAAGAATTGAAGAGGTTTTTCATCTCCTGGATTACTTTCTTGCGCTGATCCAGTCAAATACTCCAGACGTTATGACTAATCCAGCAACTAATCGAGTAACTACTTTGCCAACTAATCCAAGCCAATATTAAGAGGTTAATGTGCAACATTTTTTACACTTACAATCTCCCCCTTTGGCTATTAGTTGACAAAACTACCAAAAAGATCTCAATGGCTTATAAAAACAAAAAAAAAAAAAATTGCCAGATGAGAAAATAAAGATAAAACTTTGACAAATTTGGATTAGTCACTAGTCAGGAGTAGATTGATGCACACCCTTCTTAAGAAGGAATAATGTATATATGCATAAGACTAGTTCTTTCCTGCTTTGTAGTAGCACTAGAATAGGTCCTGTATCTGTTCTAAGATTATGGTGAGTCTGTTGTATGCATGGCTATTTAAAGCCCCTAGACCTATTGGTTTAATATATAGTTCATTCCGTTTCTATATGGTATCCAGAGCCAAACTCTAATGAGATTATTTTTTTTTTCTTTTTCTTCTCTATCATGGCTTCTTCCTCAGACATTCAAATCATTCAAATCAATGCTCCCACCAACTTTCCTATAAGATTAACATCCTCCAACTTTCAAGTCTGGAGGCGACAAATTCAAGCCTCGTTCATTGGCTTGGGTTTGCTTGGCTATGTTGATGGCACAACTCAGGCCCCTCCTCAGTTCTCTGACACGGCTCAGAAGGAAGTCAACCTTGCCTACACCATTTGGTTTAGACAAGATCAAACCATCCTGAATGCTATTCTAGGGAGCTGCTCCAACACCATTCAACCGTTGATCTCGTCAGTAGTATCTTCGGCAATGGCATGGAACCGGTTAACATCCACCTATCCTAGTTCCTCGCCATCCCACATTGTGTCACTCAAGACTAAACTGGCGTCCAATCCTCAAAACGGCCGCCCGATAGAAGAATATGTGGATGACATGTTCAGCATTGCAGAATCACTTGCCCTTGCTCAACATCCAATTAGTGAGCAAGACCTGGTGGTTCATATTCTCACTCAGTTAAATGATGAATATGATCATATCGTCCCCGCCCTCCGTGTGCGTCCAGAACCCATCACTTTCTCGGAATTAAAAGACGTGCTTGTTGAGTTCGAAAGACAGCAACGGAAGAAAGATGCGGCTAGACAATCTATGGTTGCGACTGTGAACGTAACGCAAAAGCTGCCGGGGTACTCCAACTCTGGCCGGAACAATTCTAAATCAAATAGAGGTAATACTGGTCAATCCTTTTCACAATATTCGCAATCACGGAATTTTAATCCCCACCGTCGGAGTGTAATCTGTAAGTTCTGCAATCTCACCGGTCATGAGACACGTGAGTGTCGCAAGTTGCAACGTTTTCTACGGGATAATAATGTTTCACTAGAAGCTAAGTATGGCACCAAACCAGTGGTCAACGCTACCACGACTACTTCTGCTCATCATCAACAACCGTGGTTGTTTGATTCTGGCGCGTCCCATCATACTACTTCTGACCCGTCAGTGCTACACTCTGTTACTGAGTATGGTGGTCCAGACCAAATCCACCTTGGCGATGGTACGTCTTTGTCAATATCTCATACTGTTATTTTGTGAGTTTGAAATGGTTACGTATATAGTAGCTAGCTAGGTGAAAGAATATAATATATATATATATATATATATATATATATATATATATATATATATATATATATATATATATATATATATATATAGGGATGCACTCAGGTGCGAATAAGTGCCCAGGAAGGAAATGCGAACGAATCAGCGCGTGACACGTGTCCAGATCTAATAACTTAAAAAAAACGCGGTTGCATTTTCGTAAATAATTGAACATCGAAGTGCAAGTAAAATCTCTTATAAGTGCACCTATTTTCACCTATAAGTGCATGTAATTTTGCCTTGTTAGCATTCACTTTCCGCAACCATTCATGCACCTGGGTGTGCTTATAACTATATGTGCAACTATTTATAACTATATGTGCAACTACTTATAACTATATGTGCACCTACTTTCACCTATAAGTGCATGTAATTTTGTCTTGTTAACATTCATTGATCTGAGTTCAGCGGGTAGTAATACTCCTGAAAATCACTCGCAAACATTCATACACCTAGATGCAACTACTTATACCTATGTGTGCAACTACTTAGAACTATAGGTGCAACTACTTAGAACTATAAGTGCAACTAAGTATTGATGCTCAGTGTAAATTTTTACTTGCACCTATAATACATTTTACATGCACTTGTAATACATTTTACTTGCACTTCGATGTTCAATTATTTACGAAAATGCCACCGCGTTTTTTAAAAAAATCAGTGTTTCTCATCCATTAGATTTGGACACGTGGACGAACAGAATCCATTCCTATTTCGCACCTGGGCGAGCCGTTCGCACCCGAGTGCAACTCTTTCTCTCTCTCTCTCTCCCTCTCTCTATATATATATATATATATATATATATATATATATATATATATATATATATATATATATATATATATATATATATTAGGTGTTTGGCACTAACGGATTGATTTCATCATTAAACTGTTTTTGATTAAACAATGAAGTTAGATTATGAGTGGATTCACGACGCCGGCCTATACTAGTATTATATACTTCATCTTAATTATTGATTAATATTTTCTTTTTTATATCTAAAGAAATGGGGAACAAAATGTTACAAATCAGCTATACACAGTTGACGCCATCTAGGTATATCTATCATCCATATCGTCAAACAAAATGTTCAGCATCTCATCTGGAAGGCTTTCCATCCCAGTACGTTGACCATCCATTAACACTACATGCAATACATCAAAGAAGTTGAACTAAGAGTGCAAGCTAATTAATGTTTACACACTTACTAATCCATAAGAAACATATATGCATGAAGTATATAATACTAGGTGTCCTAAATCCACTAGCTAGTACGTAGTAATCAAAACTATGTAATGGAAGTATTATATATTATTTCACATATAGTACATAACAATTTCAAAGTCACATGCAAAAGCTTTAATTTCATCTGTAATTTAAAATATTAATCATACCAATGTCTCTCGATCATCTAATTAAATATAATATGATTATCATATCGATGCATGTGAAATGATGAATGTCAAAAACCGTTGATGAAAACAATGAGATGGATGAGTTAGTTGGCGTCAAACACCGTACCTAAGCAACTGATATCCGTAGGAAGATCCTCCGAGCTGGTGTCAAGTACTATGTTGTACCACTACTCCAGGACCAGGGTGGTGGGCTTGACCTAGCTTCCACCGGACGTCGTAAGAGTTGCCCGCAAAGTATGGTCCAGGATGATGTTTACTGGTGGGGCAACACTATACAGTTTTACCCAGTTAATTCACAAAAAAGTGTGATTCGTGAATGGATTGACCTCGATATTGAATTTCCAAATGTATACACAGGATGCCCGGAGTCTAAGGTATGGACAATTAGTGGAGATCCCTCATCATATGATATTACTCATTATATTACAAATGGCGGCAGAAAAGGCAATCCTGGTCAACGAACTCTAAGCAACTGGTTCAAGATTGTTAAAACAACAAATGCCTATAAGTTTATGTTTTGTCCAAGTGTGTGTGACGACTGCTCATATGTGTGCCAAGATGTTGGCGTTTCCAAATAAAGGGGACAGAGGCGTTTGGTTCTCAGTTATACCCCTCTGGAAATCAACTTTAGGAAGGCTTAAAGGTTATTTAATGCAACTTTATTAATTATTATTATAGCAATAATAATGCAAATAGCAAAAAATAATCGCATATATATGCAGCTAGCTTTTAATCATGTTGGATTATGGAGAATACAGATAGTGATGATTGATGATTGAACTCATTGCAGAGAAGAAGAAGAAGAACACTCTCATTATTGTCTCAGTATTGACTTATTACAGCAGCAAGAAGAGCAAGGCATTCAAAAAACGGTTATAACCGAAAAGGAGGTGTAAAGACAAGAATGCCCTTTGGACTCAAGTAGACAAGAACATCCCTGACTTCCTTGACTCTTCTTGTGACTGCATCAGCTTGCATCAGCCTCCAACACCCCCCCCCCCCTTAAGCTGGGGAATGGACATCCTGATGACCCAGCTTAGAGTGGAAGGCCTCAAAAATGGGTTTTGACAAAGCTTTTGCAAAGCCATCAGCAATCTGCTTCTGTGATGAAATAGGGAGTAATCTGATCACTCCTTCTTGTACTTTCTGCTTGACAACATGACAACCAATCTCAATGTGCTTGGTGCGCTCATGGAAAACATGGTTCTCACTAATGGCAATTGCAGACTGATTATCACAAAAGAGAGAAGTTGGACTATCACATGGCACACCCAAATCTGTCAACAGATAATGCAACCATTGGATTTCACATTCAGTAGAAGCCAAAGCTCTGTATTCTGCCCCAGAAGAAGACCTTGAGACAGTAGCTTGCTTCTTAGTTCTCCAGGAAATTAAAGCTTCTCCAAAGTATATGTAGTAGCCAGTGATGGACTTTCTAGTTTCTGAACATGTAGCCCAGTCTGAATCAGAAAAACCTTGTAGCTTAGGATGAGTATGTGAAGGATAGAATAGACCTTTTCCTGGAGATCCTTTGAGGTACCTGAGTACCTTATGAGCTACTGTTAGATGAATGTGTGTAGGTTTATCAACAAATTCACTCAATTGTTGAACTGGGTGTGAAATGTCTGGTCTGGTATTGGTCAGATAAAGGAGCTTCCCAACCAACTTTCTGTACACTTCTGGATCATTCAGTGGAACTCCCTCTGCACTGGTTAATTTCTGACCTGTGGTTGCAGGAGTTTTAGCAGGTTTGGCCTCCAAGAAGCCATTCTCTTTCAAAATTTCCAGGGTATATTTCCTTTGGCAAATATTGATGCCATCAGAAGTCCTTAGAGCCTCAATCCCCAAGAAATAATTCAGACAACCAAGATCCTTTATTTTGAAAGACATATCCAAGAATTTCTTCAGCTCATTAACCTGTGATGAATCATTCCCAGCAACCAATATATCATCCACATAGATAAGTAGGGAAGTAAAGGAATTTCCTAAAGTCTTTGTGAATAAGGAAGGATCTGCTGTGGACTGATGGAAACCAATTAGCATTAATGCCTGTGTTAACTTTGCATTCCATTGCCTGCTAGCTTGTTTCAAGCCATATAATGATCTTAGAAGCCTGCACACCTGCCTAGGTCCATCAATCTGGAAACCAGGAGGTGGAACCATGTAAACTTCCTCCTTTACATCTCCATGCAAGAAGGCATTATCGATGTCCAACTGTTGAATGTCCCAATTCTTTGCAACTGCATGCTACAGTTAAGAATGTTCTAATGGTGGTCATCCTGGCCACAGGTGAGAAGGTTTCAGTGTAGTCAACCCCCAACTGTTGAGTATACCCTTTTTGCAACCAATCTAGCCTTGTATCTCTCTATAGAGCCATCTGCCCTATGCTTTATCTTGTATACCCACTTGCAACCAATAGGAGATTTTCCTGTTGGAAGATCGGTTAGAGTCCAAGTGTTGTTGGCAATCAGTGCATCTATTTCAGTCTGCATTGCCTTTCTCCAAGGTTCATGTTGAACAGTTTCTTTATAGGACTGTGGTTCATGAGTAGAGGAAATGGACATAGCACATACTCTATGACCAGGAGGAAGATAATCATAAGATATGACTTTGTCTAGTGAGTGTGGGGATGTTGTAACACCCCCCCAAACATGCTATATAAAAAGCCTTAACACATGCAGATATCACAACAAAACACTAGCACAGCGGAAGGTAAAAAGGTAACTGGATAAAAGTAAATCCAAAACAGGGGTGTTATGCCACGTTTACCAACAATGATAAACGCTACGGCCAAATCTGCATGGTATCCAACTATCCCAAACTCATAAGTCTATCACTACATCGGCTCACAGGCCGTAAAGCCAACAAAAGGTACTATACTATCGGGCACTAGACTCCGCTCTCGTTTAGACATCACCTGTAAGAACACAAATAAACATGGGACGACGCCCGGTCAGCGAATAATGCTGGTAACCCACCAATACATGTGAAATATCATACATAGATAGATATAAGTTACAAAGCCATTTTCGAAACGGAATACATAAGTATATAAGTACAAAACCAAGAGCAATAGTCAACACAAGACTTAATACTCTCAACAAGGACACGGGAACACATCCCAAACCATAAAGGATATCACAACACAAGGACAAAGACACAACATATGGCAACACATGCCCAAGCACACATGCCTTTGTGACTACACACGTCACAAGAAGAGAACACACAACCACGACTACACAAGCCCTCGTGACATCACACATCACACATCACGAGTTGATATGCCTTCCTTATGCCCGGTTCCAACCTTATGGCTACCCCCAACCTTATATCTAGTTCCAACCTTTACCTCCAGGACCCCTGTACACCAAGTCCAACCTTATTCCTCCGAGGACCGTCGTCCCCTCTCCAACAGATCTCCAACAGAACCACCGATTTCATAGTACACGAGGGTACCGATCACACACACGGCAACATATGCCTCTCCCAAAACACGTGAACCTTACACAA